ATGGAGGCCTTCAGAGAGCATAAAGACGATCTGCCGACCACCCTCGTTGAGGTGATGAGCTTGATAAAATTATTGTCCAAATGCTCTGTCTTCTAAGACTTTGGGACTTAACACAGTACTCAATTTATGATTAAATATTACGATATTATATTTAAATAAGCATTTTGCGAGAGATTTCAGCTTTTAAATTTTGCGAGTTTAACTTACTTATATTTCTTTTTCAGATGATGGAGCGCTTCACAAGCGATGAGACCCGCAAGATGGCATTTGAGCTTTACAAATGTGCCATGGATTCTAAAATCGAATCCCATGAGGGATGTCTTGAAGATTCTCTTCTAAAAAGCTATCACTCTGAGGCAAGAAGCGAAGCTATTGCAGCTTACGACAAGGAAAACCCATACGCCAGAAACAACGCTTTGTTTGCAATTGCAGCTGAAGTTAGGAGAATCCTTGAAACGGTGAGTGAAAGCCGGCTAATGTGCCGTCATGTACTCATAATATCGCTGACCGAGCGCTCTGAGTAATTACCCTATCGCGATTTTTATTCCTGTCAGCCGCTGGCACAAGGACGCCCTAAGCTCGCCTAGCGCGTAAAGTAGCGGCTCTATGTCCGCTTTAGGTTCCGGTTGCCATAGCGAAATAAGCGCCGAAACAGAATCTTGTAAAATACCTGTCAAGCTTAGGGCGATCGTGGGGCACTCGTATTTGGTACCTGATACGTTCGGGACAGACACGGCCGAATCTGAAAAATGCGTTAAGAAATGCTCCCCCTTCCCCCCCTTATACTGGGAGGGGGGGAAGGGAGGGGGCATTTGAATAATCTTTGTACGCTATATATATGCAGCCTAGTACTACTCTCTTAGTTTTAAAATAAGAGCAAAGCCTATCATAAGTTCAATTTCTATGTATAGACTCAGGTTTCATCTAGTAACCCTTTTGAGATCACGTTTTTCCAGAATAAGGGAAAATCGTTTTCCAAACAAATAAACTCCAATCGCTACAAGAATAAACATTATTCGAGGGAATATTTCTATATCATGCAGGTAACTTAATTTTTGTATCATGGCATGTAACTTTCGTCACCAAAATAGCCAACTGCTCTGCAACTGCAACCCTATCAAAATTTGGATGCCTGTCAGCCGCTGGCTCAGGGTCGCCCCAAGTTCTTTTTGCGGTGTAAATTAGAAGCTCTATGTCCGCTTTAGGTTCCGGTTGCCGGAGCGAAATAAGCGCCGAAAGAGAATCTCGTGAAATACCCGTCGAGCTTGGGGCGATCGTGGGGCGCGCGTATTCGGTACCTGATACGTTCGGGACAGACACGGCCGAATCTGAAAAATGCGTTTAAAAAATGCCCCCTCCCTTCCCCCCTCTATGGGGGGAAGGGAGGGGGTCATTTGAATCGCTGTACGCTATATATATAACGGTTTCTTTTATACTGACACGTTGTCGTCTACCTACTAGAAAATCTGATCAATTCGAATACGTTTCTCTCTCTATTCCCAAAAACTTCACTTTACGCAACAGTCGCTCATTTGGGACACTGTCAAATGCCTAGGCAAAATCGAGGTACACTGCATCCACTTGCTCCATTTCGTCCAGTCAATGTAGACAAAAGATTTGTGGTGCATGATCTACCGGCAGTAAAGTCACGTTGACAGCCTTATAGGAGATGGCTAACGGTCAACAGATCGATTATCCTATCTCTCACAACAGTTTCCATTACCTTACAAACAACACTTGTCAAACTGACGGGCGATTGTTACCGGGGCTAATTTTGTCGCTCTTTTTGAACAATGTTGTTGCATGAGCTTCCATCCAATCGGCCTCTAAGTTCCTCCATTCAGGGTCTTTTGAAAGAATACTGTCGATGGGCAAGCCGGGACTGTTGTAAATTCTGTGAGCAATTTAGGGTGGAAGCCGCCTGGTCCACATGACTTGTTGGGACTTAGAGCGATCAGGCACTTGAGAACCTCTTCTTCGTGTATTTCAAAATATTTTAACTTCGAGCCGACTGGGCGCTCCTCAATATCTGGAATACTGTTCAAGTCCTCATCTGTGAACACACTGCTAAAGAACGTTAGCTTTGCTCTCATCAGAGGATATTTTTCGTTGGTCTACTTTCAAATCAAAAATACAGTCTTTTGGCTTACACTTCGAATTAGCGTGCAAAAAGGAGGCTTTCGGGTTCTTTTGCATTTTTGGCAATATTTTTTTAAAGGTTTTCAGAGCTGTGCGACAGATTTGTTAAAGCTTTATTGCGAGCTTCTGCATACAGGTTATAATCAGCATCGCTGAGAGTTCGTAAATAAAGCTTGTGCTTCCTTCTTGGTCTTCAGCTTAGCCATGATTGTACTGTTCATCCATTCTGACTTTTTCCCTCCACCTAACTCAATCTTAGGTACACACGCAACAACTGCAGACATAACTGAGTCTTTGAAAGATGACCATGAATCAGCCCCATTCATGTCCTTAATACAGTCTAAAATATTCGCCGCACTCAATGCATCACGGAATTTAAAATAATCATCTCTGGCAAAGTTCAAACGCTCACGCTTTCGAGGCGTCATTTCGGTATAGCACTTATGACTGAAAAAAAAACAATGATTGGTGGTGACTTTTACCCAACGAAGCCTCATGCCACAGCTCATCTAACATTGACTCCTCACTACTAAACAATAGATCGAGAATATTTGGGGTTTGTTTACCTTCTGATATGGGTTGGCTTGGTGATGTTCTGGATTAAAAATTAGTCTCGCACAGACTCCAAGAGCAGGGATGCAGGGTGATTCCCATCTCTTGGATAGGATTCTTCTATACCAAGTTTATTTCTAGATGGATAAAGTCACCAATAATCAACGTATGCGACTTGCTGAAAGTCATGTTCGGTAAAAGACTGTTTAGTACTTAATCGTTATTAGAGTAACTGTTAGGTGATCTATACACGACGCCTATGAGGAGGTTATCTTTGCCTCTGAGAGAAAGTTTGCACCACACTGATTATCAAGCTGATTGATGCTCTGTAGAACGTTTCGGTGAAAGTTTCATTTAGTCCCATGTCCTCAAGGATTCAACCTTCATCTTCGCCCTGACGCTGCTGACCTCCTCCGTAACTGTGTACAATCTGATGAACAACATCAAAGAGGACGACCTCATGAACCTGCAGACGTTCTGCACCTTCGGGACCTTGGCGCAGAACTCCACCAACCAAAACTTCTGCGCATTTCAGGCAAGTCTATTTTATAAAAATTGGTAAATTGTTGTTCGTTGATCAAGTAAGCCGAATATTAATTCGACGCATTTGTACTTAATTTTTTAATTAATCTGTCTGACAACGTTTAATTTCACTGTTTGAACTAATTTATTGCCTATTCTTGAGACATCTCAACTACCAGAGCTTTGATTGGTGTCCAGGAGAGAATGCACCTATATTATGACCGTCAACTATTTAACAACATTTATAATAACTTCATTGAATTACATACATTTTCATGGATTAATGCAAATAAATCAACTTCTATTCATTGGAATACTTAACAAATGTATGTATATAAAAGTTAGTAAATGTATGTCAAGTAACTATGAATTATGTAATCGTACCAGATGTCGTACAAATAAACCAAGTCGCCATCGAAACCCACCATTTTACAAGTTATATACTTTGCGATGCCTTGGTTGTGCTACAATGCAAATTGCTGTCTAGTTCTGTAGGCATTGAAGACTCGTGTAAATACTTCATGCACAAACCTGCAGCCGAAGTTTACACAATTTTCTGAAAGCTGACGTAAAAATTGTACTGATCTTATGCGACATATACATAGGCTTAGTTGAATGTCATCTCCCTCGCTCACTGCCAAGTCAAGTAAATAGAGTTTCAGGTTTGGGGATAACTCCGGAAATTTTTCAGCCCTTCATCCACGCAGCGCGTACCATTACGAAAAACCTTATTGCTTGTGCGAAGTTCACAGGCATGTGCCAGTTCTCATAAATTTCCTTCTATATTTCTAACAATGAAATCTTTTGATTAATATCGTTATTGTTGATGTATTTCGTAGTGTCACACGCCACGCCGATAAAATGTTATGGCGTTTCCTATTTTGGATCATATTGGTGGGATTTACGAAGTAAAATCTAATTCAGAAGTTGAACATTGCACATTGGTCGCTTTTGTGTCGTCAATGTGACAGATCGACGGGACCCCGAATTTCGATCAGCGTCATGATGGCTAGTTGGGTCTCCTGCAAACTTGAGTTTTTCGTGATTTCTAATGTGAAACATCGTAACAATATAAAAAGATTAATATTTACATGACTTTTTTTTTTATCTCACAAGAATTTTGAACATACTATACAATGTTCAATTTTCGTATTTGTATACTTTGGACGAGGTTTTAACGGCCGAATCGAAATGATGCTGTTTTAAGCAGCCACGCAGTCGATGTGCATGCAGTTGGCCGCATGCCAATCTGTTGGCTTTCTCGTGTTGCCTACATGCACACTGCATGCGTTCATGCCTCGTGATGGCGCCGAAAAGCGTTGTTTGACGGCAAGCTCGGGACTGCCTGCAGTTCGACAGTAAAATGTTCGTGGCCGGGCTGCATAAGCACGACGGTACCGTGGCACTCAGTAGCGCTTGAAACCTTAGGGCAGTGTTTCTGCAATGACTGCTATAACAGTCGCGTACGTTAGTAGGAGTTTTAATCTGAGTTGCTCACAGCTCTCAAAAACAAGATTTGGGTTTCTCGTTGTCTCAGGTCTCTGTTATTGTTGGTGATTGAATTGCCAATGGTATTTAATATAAGCGAAGTACATATTGTGATTTTTATATTCTGTGTTCAACTAAATTCGAAAACTTTAACTCTTATCCAGTGTGGGCAATTTTTTGAAGCCGTGTGATTTAAATTGTGTATTTTTTAAAGTGTTCAGACGCTCTTCATTTAATCACCAAAATGACACGAAAGCTCAAATTAGAGAGTCGTAAAATTCAAAATTTTTCCTATACAGAAGCTACTCTTCCTGGTACGAGACTGGAACTCCCCAAAGCAGTATCCATACGGCCACCAGAGCGGAAAAACTGTACTCGACAAAATTTTGACGGTAAGTTGGTCACAATATTATCATATCGTATCATAGTGATGTCGTCGTTGAAGAGTATACCTGATGTGGCCTGTCTCCGATTCTTGTACGTTTCGTGAGTTGTTCTCAGAAGATATGAATACAGGTCCTTTGACCGGATCTTCGAAACTGACAATAGTTTGAAATAGCTGCTAAACTTCCACCAGGTTAGAATAGATATGGTGCTAGGCATTTCAAGTCAGAACTTATATTTTTCCATGGCTTTATCAAGTGTGTTCTTGAACGCGTTCTTACGCGGAGCGTCAACAATGTAATTTGGGAGGCTGTTCCACATGCCGGTGATTCGAAGCGAGAAGAAATGTTGTCGCATGAATGAGTTGCAACGCAGTTTTTTTAGTTTACAGACGTGGCCCCTGCATGGTGTTGGTTCTCGTTCCAAATTCTGGTATTCCTTCTGGGACCTTGTATAAACCAGGAGTATACTTGTACTTCAATGAGGACCCCACGCAGGCGTCGATAACAGAAGCTTGGCAGCTTCGTAACCTTTGATCTCTCTTCATATTAATTGCCCGTCATGTCTGGAATTATCTGTGTTGCCTGTCTTTGAACACTCTATTAAATTTTTGTTATTTTCAAGTCTCGGTGACCACACGGCGTTTTTAAAAATCTAGGTTCGGGTGCACGATAGCAGCAAACAGCAGCTTCAACGCTTCTGCATCCAGAAACCCGTAAGAGAGTCTGAACAGTCCAAGAAGTTTGTTGGATTCATTAGCTTGCGTTTGAACATGCGTAGAAAATTTCAGCTCCTTGTCGACATAAACCCCAAAATCTTATTTCACACTAGAATTTTCAATCATTACTCTCTCGTTGCAACCATGTCTTCTCATACTGTATGGTACTCAGAAGCTAATTAGCGCTGATACGCGGCTGGCGATATCGTCTCTAAAGCGGACATTTCTGCTCTATCGCTGCTCTGTCGCGTCTCTACGCCGGCTCTGCAGCCGGCGACGGCCTGCTCTATTCCCTGCCCTAAATTTTAACTGGGTCCTTTCGTCATAATTCATAGCAAATGTACGCGTATACATTTATCGACGCCATTAATTGAGCGGGAGATGGTCGTGGTTCGAGCAGTTATCCCCGTCCAGCCTCTGATCAGTCATCATGAGACAGCCTTGCTTGCGTTTGAACAGAGTCACCAAGAGGCACTTGACCAGCTGCTCTTTGCGGTTATATTACGTAGATTCAGCCCACCGGGCAATTGATTTCTAAAAGAGGCTGCCGAATAGCAGCCGAACACCCTAGGAGGCCAATTCGCGCCTAAACCACCTCTAATCCGAATCCATTTCCTCTGGGGCGACCCAAATAGGTACGAAAACTTTTATCGGGTAGGCTATGTATATTTGCGGCCAGATTGTGGACAGATATGATGATTTTGCTTACACAATCATATGCATGCTTTGTCTTACTGCATGTAGCACAGAGGCAATAATTTCTGTCAATAAATATTATAGATTTGAACAGGTGGCAGATATGAGCTGCAATGGCGTTAAATGAGCATGCAGGCACGCGTGATCGGTGATACCAGCCGACGCATAAATTGTATATACCAGGTTACAAATCCATGATATCGAGTGATTCAAAGATATGTAATCCACGAAGCTCGACGGTGTGTAATCCATGATGTCAAGCGATTAGCAATCCATTATGTCAGACGACTTGTAATCTACGATGTCAGACGATCAAAGGATTTGTAGTCCATGATGTAATCCATGGATTACATCATGATCATCCATCCATGCATCATCCATGATGTTGTACATGGATTTGTAATCCAAGAGCGATTCAAGTCCATTGAGAGCTTGGCGACGAACGTCACTATCAGACATCAATGTCGAGTAGTAGACGAAAGGCACAATTCATACTATAATTTAACTATTTAACGGCTACAAAGAGAAAATAACAGATGGAATGCAAATCATTACAAGTTATACTTTTTTTTTAATTCTTACATAAAATGATAGTGCGGGGACTTTTTACTGGAGCTCATACCATTATAACAGTTCAGCATTAGTTATATGTTGAATCTTGAATTGCTATGCAGGATCTACCCAACCTCAATTCGCAATTGCGCTGTTCACGAGTTAAACTCTTCTGCTTGATCTGACTCCAAAAGATCTCCATATAATAATTAGTCAGTCGTCAAGGATACAAAACTGATACACACTAATTATTTTATTTATTTCACTCAAATTTGTAAGATTTCCAAAAGTTGGCTATCGAATTTATTTATGTCGCTTGCAGCGTTGAACTTTTGTAATCGTGAAAATAGATTTCGACTGGAAATAAGAGCTACGGGCGGTAAACTAGCTACGAAAATGCGTTGCACGCGAAAATTTAGAGCTCAAAAATAAATATTGGGCCATCAAAATATCTAACATAAATCAGACACCACAAATTTCAAAACTACAACGAAATAAAATCTTACTCGTTTCAACGTCTGGGGCAAAATGCGTTCTGAATTAACGGGAAAGTAAATGATTTAATTCCAAGTTATCTTCAGGAATTTAAACCTTGAGGTACGAAATAGTTTTGATCGTTGTTACTTTTTAAAGACATTCATAAAAAATAGGCAATTACCTGTTATTAGATTTATATGATAATAATTAAAAGACAACTGACAATTTTCTAGAGATAATGTTGATTTGTCAGTTTCAAATGACCAAGCATGATCTAGTACATGTTACAATGTGTAAAACGAACATGAGAGAGTACAAATATGCCACATACACACACCCGGGGCAGCATAACGCTATGTGAGCGAAGCTTGAATTCATAGTGATTTCTGCAAGGTTGTTCTGTATTTACATTTATAAAATAGTAGAAGATAAATAATAATCAAGATGAACAAAAAAGATCGGTAACTACTAAAATTTGCCTAATAGGATGTGACCACGCAATTGCATTTTTAACACGTTTTTCTTAGCTTAGCTTCGCGTTTGTTTGTTTGTTTGTTGTTAACATTGACAACGAAAATTAGCCCACTTCTGATTGCTCTAGAGATCTGAAATTAGGCATGCAGGCTATATTCGCCTAACAATTTCAGATACAGTCAGTGTATACTGACAATTTATACTGGCAGTGTATACTGTTATACTGTTAGGTGTACAGCGTGTATTGTCAGTGTATACTGACAATTTATACTGACAGTGTATACTGTTATACTGTTAGGTGTACAGCGTGTATTGTCAGTGTATACTGACAATTTATACTGACAGTGTATACTGTGTCAGTAGGGCACTGTGAGCGTACAGTCTCAGCCATGTACTGTACACTGTACACTGTCTGCCATACACTGCAAGACAAGGTACTCTGGAGGCTCCACTGATCTAGTTCCGGATAGCATTGTTGCGAGAAAGAAACGTTGCTGGATACCTCAAATTAGGGCTAATAACTCCAATCTAAAAGAGAATGCAAGAGACTAGCCCTATAAAAATTACAGGCCGGGGACATTAACAACACAAGTAATAAAGGTGTTTGAAGTTGTTGCCAGGAGGCTGGTGCAGTACATGGAGGAAGCTGACCTGTTCACCACAAGACTACACAGTTTAAGAAGAAACCGTTCCTGCATGTCCCAGTTACTGGAACATCACCACCATCAGTGCTACTGAGAGAACCAAGACTACTTGGGGTCGGAGGAGAGGTGCTGGTGTGGGTACATAACTTCCTAACTGAATGAATATATATAAACTGTCATTGTTGGTGCTTGGTCCGATACTCTTACTCGGAAGTGCAGCAAAAGTGCTGCGAATTCTCGTGATAAGCTGGCATCAATGATTGTATGATTGTTTAATGATTTTAATGTCTGCGGAAAGGATTTATTTACTTGGTGGTACCGAGACCGTTTAACGCCTTGCCGATGGAACTGGGAGTGGGAGAGTCCACTCTGGAGACCTCCAAGAGACTGGACGTGTTCCTCGACACAATCTCTGATCCTTCTGCGCCACTACCAGAGGCAGGGAGCTAGCAGCAGCATGCATCGTGCATCAGCTGGCCCAACTGAGGGCATCAGCTGGCCCAACTGAGGGCATCAGCTGGCCCAACTGAGGGCATCAGCTGGCCCANAGGGGCCACGCTGGAGGCCAGGGACACACCTGTGGGCCCGACACGATGGCCAACAGCAGGGCCAGCTTGAGGGCGTGGTAGGTCCCAGGAGGGGCCACGCTGGAGGCCTGGGACACACCTGTGGGCCCGACACCAGGGCCAGCAGTAGGGCCAGCTTGAGGGCGTGGTAGGTCCCAGGAGGGGCCACGCTGGAGGCCAGGGACACACCTGTGGGCCCGACACGATGGCCAACAGCAGGGCCAGCTTGAGGGCGTGGTAGGTCCCAGGAGGGGCCACGCTGGAGGCCTGGGACACACCTGTGGGCCCGACACCAGGGCCAGCAGTAGGGCCAGCTTGAGGGCGTGGTAGGTCCCAGGAGGGGCCACGCTGGAGGCCAGGGACACACCTGTGGGCCCGACACGATGGCCAACAGCAGGGCCAGCTTGAGGGCGTGGTAGGTCCCAGGAGGGGCCACGCTGGAGGCCTGGGACACACCTGTGGGCCCGACACCAGGGCCAGCAGTAGGGCCAGCTTGAGGGCGTGGTAGGTCCCAGGAGGGGCCACGCTGGAGGCCAGAGACACACCTGTGGGCCCGACACGATGGCCAACAGCAGGGCCAGCTTGAGGGCGTGGTAGGTCCCAGGAGGGGCCACGCTGGAGGCCTGGGACACACCTGTGGGCCCGACACTAGGGCCAGCATAAGAGCCTGAGACACACCTGTGGGCCCGACACGAGGGCCAGTAGTAGGGCCAGCTTGAGGGCGTGGTAGGTCCCAGGAGGGGCCACGCTGGAGGCCGCCATGTAAGCCAGCGACTGCACGGCCGACCACGGCGAGTCTCTCCTGTCGCTGTACAGCTCCCTGCGGTACACGTACGGTACAACTATTGTAAAGTGTACTAGTGTACTATGTGTACTATATGTACAGTATTGCAGTGTATTAGTATGTGCACCTAGTGATCCATCCTTTCTCTGTACAGCTCCCTGCGGTACACGTACAGTACACATATTGTACACCTATTGCACAGTGCACTAGTGTACAGTATTATAGTGTGTTAGTATGTGCACCAAGTGATCCATCATGTCGCTGTACAGCTCCCTGCGGTACACGCACAGTACACATATTGTACACCTATTGTACATTTAGTGTACTAGTGTAATATTAGTACAGTATATTGTAGTGTATTAGTACGTGCACAGCATGTGCACCTAGTGATCCATCCTGTCACTCTATAGCTCAACGTATTACACTTATTCTTCACACACTAATGCACCTAATCCTCTTTACGTACAAATAAACGGTCTTCAATGTGTACCTACAGGCCTGGGGCCATACTTGCAAAACTCGCTAAGTAAACGTAAGTACTTAACGCTCTATTTTAACACGTTTTTCTTAGCTTAGCTTCGCGTTTGTTTGTTTGTTAACACGTTTTTCTTAGCTTAGCTTCGCGTTTGTTTGTTTGTTTGTTTATTTGTTTGGTTGTTTGTTTGTTTGTTGTTAACATTGACAACGAAAATTAGCCCACTTCTGATTGCTCTAGAGACCTGAAATTCGGCATGCAGTCTATTTTCGCCTAACAATTCCCGATACAATCATAAAAACTAGCAATTAGAGACCTAAATTAGCTTAATTAAGTAAAGTGTATATATATATATATATAGTATATATATAGTATGGCGTGCGGGCGCTGACGTTATAACCGAGCAGGCGCTGAAGCTGCGTATCATCGATACGTACGTCAAGTCATACTTGTTCAACGCATTAGATAAAGTAGAATGTAAACTATATAATTAGGGTTCCATCAACGCAGAGCCACTCGAATCAACGAATCGCAGAGCCAAATTATTCGCCGAAAAGACAAAGCTGAGACGTGGAATCTATTCATTCGAATCAAGTCGCAGCAGCTGAGCCGTTCCGTGAGCAATTTCTAGCCGGAAAAGTCAACTCGGAATCTAGTGAGAAGTTTGTAGTGAAACTTACTTAGAAGTGAGAAGAATAAGTGTGATTTAATGGATTGTGATTAGAGAAAGCATCATAATCAAACCGATAATAGTGATAATAAGGAAATTTGCAAATCTATGGAATATTTTGTATAGAAGCAAATTAAAATTACAAGTAAATAAGATACTGACTTTAAGATTATTTAATAGTGCCAAGTGAGCCATTTAGTCTGGGAGGAAGGTGGTAAGAACGCATCCAATTAAGGTGATTCGAAAAATTTTTTTTAGCTTTCAAGCAATGTCGAAAACGCGTCAACAAAAAGAACGTCAACGAGAAAAAGCTCGCTTGAGGCGCCAAGCAGATCGTTCGCTTGAGACCGAGGAAGAAAGAGAAGCTAAAAGAATACGTCGACAGGAGCTAGCCAGTATTGAAAGCGAGGAACATCGTCTTGAGAGATTATCAAAACAAAAAGAGCGTCAACAAAAAGTTCGAGCTTTTGAGTCTGCTGATGAGCGGAATTTACGCCTTGAGAAGCAACGAGAAAGACATCAACGAAATCTGGCCGTTGAGTCCGCGGAAGGGCGGAATTCGCGCCTTGAGAAGCAACGAGAAAGACATCAACGAAATCTGGCCGTTGAGTCCGCGGAAGGGCGGAATTCGCGCCTTGAGAAGCAACGAGAAAGACATCAACGAAATCTGGCCGTTGAGTCCGCGGAAGGGCGGAATTCGCGCCTTGAGAAGCAACGAGAAAGACATCAACGAAATCTGGCCGTTGAGTCCGCGGAAGGGCGGAATTCGCGCCTTGAGAAGCAACGAGAAAGACATCAACGAAATCTGGCCGTTGAGTCCGCGGAAGGGCGGAATTCGCGCCTTGAGAAGCAACGAGAAAGACATCAACGAAATCTGGCCGTTGAGTCCGCGGAAGGGCGGAATTCGCGCCTTGAGAAGCAACGAGAAAGACATCAACGAAATCTGGCCGTTGAGTCCGCGGAAGGGCGGAATTCGCGCCTTGAGAAGCAACGAGAAAGACATCAACGAAATCTGGCCGTTGAGTCCGCGGAAGGGCGGAATTCGCGCCTTGAGAAGCAANCGATCTAATTGGATTCATTCGAACCTTTGGTCCACCAACGTGGTTTATCACATTAAGTTGCAACGATCTTCATTGGCCGGACATGATTAAAGCCTTACTTTTGGCTGCCAACGACGAAAGAGCTAAAGAAGATGAACCAAACCTCCGTATTAATGAAGTACAGAAGTTGATTGAAGAACATCCGGTTACTGTTTCACGGCATTTCATGAGACGTCTCAATGCATTCATTACATTCATCAAGGCTAATGATAATGTACTTGGAGGAAGAGTCGTTGATTATTGGTGGAGAATCGAGTTTCAGAATAGAGGAAGTCCACATGTGCATATGGTGGTAGGGATTGAAAACGCTCCTTCATTCTCGGCCCCAGAAGGAATCCAATTAATTGACAACGTAGTCACATGCAGTTGCCCTTCGGAAGCGGAAAATGAAAAGTTGCATGATCTCTTGAAGCGGAATAAAATTCATCATCACACTCAATCTTGTTACAAGAATTCCGAATCTTGTCGGTTTGCATTTCCACGACAGCCATGCAACGAAACTGAAATTGTTTCTGAGACTTCGGTTGTTTCTGAGACTTCGAATTGTTTCTGAGACTTCGAATTCTTCAGAAATGGCGGACGAATTTGCAGTCTAAAGAGAAAGCCACACGAAAAATCGGTGAATAACTACAACGAAACTTTTCTCAAGTTGTGGGATAGAAACATGGACATTCAGCCTTGTGGATCGAACGAAGCGATTGCGCAGTACGTTGCGAAATACATTTCAAAATCTGAGCCAACAGAACTGAATGTAGGTATCGCACAGGCCATATGCGACAAATTCAGCGAGAGGATGGAAATTTGCCGAACAAGCTCTTCAGAATATGTATGAGAATTGTGAATGAACGACAAATTTCTGCATGTGAGTGTGTATGGCGACTTTGCATCTCCCTTATCATGGAAGCACACGAGAATGTGTATTTCTCAATGCGCGAAATCCTGAACAGAGATATTATGTTCTACAATTTCAAGGCAACTGGCCATTGCACCAATATGTTCGAGAGATATTAGAAACGCTCCAGAGAAATAATGGATGGTATAGACTTTCCAAGGATGACCACTGTTGAATTCTTTATGCGTTTCAAGCCGGACTACAAAAAAATTCTCCTGAGAACGAAAGTGTGGATCCTGAGGTGGAGACAGGACGTCAAACTAATCCTCGCATCACTCTTGTCGATGGAACAAAAATGATTGAGCGAAGCAAGGAGGCTGCTGTGAGAAGTCCATTCTTTGTAATGCATCGAGATCCGGATAATTACTTATTACTTAATTACTATTATAAGCTTACTTCTTCAGTTTTGCCCTTATTATCATGAAAGTGAACTTTTAGAAGGTTTTGATAGCCCAAAGGAAGCATTTCTTGCACGTGAACAAGAAATGAGAACAAACAGCCGATTTATGGAAAGATTTCGTAAAACCGACAGGCAGTTGCAGGTTGCTCTGAATCGAGCTCGTGCAATCCACATTATTGAGTGACCACTGGATATTGAAGTTGATGAAGAAATCGAGGATGAACAGCTCCAAGGAATGACTGACAACAACTTCCAGAATGCTAAGTCTGCAATGAACTTGAAACAGAAAGAGCTGTTCAAGTTGTTAGCCGATAGCGTTGACAATCAGAAAAGTGGAGATCCAAATCGCCTGAAATTGTTTGTTACTGGAGGAACAGGTGTTGGAAAGACGTTATCATTCAAAATTCTGGTTGGAACTTGTAAACCGAAGCTACGAAAACAATGCAGTCAAAGTTGCTGCACCAACTGGAGTTGCTGCTTTACTGGTAGGTGGATCGACACTGCATAGTCTCCTTAAGGCCTGTAGTCACAGTGCGGCGAAGTCCGTGAGCGAGAAATTCGCG